AGTGTCGTCTGGAAAGAGGTTCATTACAGATAGGACTGGCTGTGTTTGTGTGATGCAGGGCACCTCTGAGGAGGCATCTAATCCAGTACACCTGGTGTATCTCTAAGAAAGCGGTCACGTGAAGCCCCAGGAGCACACATGATAAGGAAGGCAAAGATGACAGCGGTGCATCTGCAAGGTGAGGGATACCAAGGACTGCCAACCATCTCCAGAAGCCAGGAGAGAGGAAGGGAGTAGATTTTCCCTCAGAGCCTTCACAGAAAAACCAACCTGGCCAACACCTTGATTTTGAGATTTTAGCTCCCAGAACTATAAAAGAGCATTCCTATTGTTTTAAGCTACCTATTTGTAGTTGTTTGTTATGCAAGTCCTAAGAAACTAATGTAGGGTTTCTCTGGGTATGCTTTAGCTTGGGTAGCACACTTTGGGTATGCTCCTCAAAGCCCACTAAGACCATGGATTCATGAAGGACGGGGGAGGAAGAGATCTTAGTATTCACTGTAGTCCCATTTAGTCACTTTTGATTCCTCAAAACCCTTTTCAGCATCCTCATAAATTGTGTTTGTCTTGTGCCTGAATACAGTCAGGAGTTCACTGCAGAGGACAACTGCTATCTCTCACCACTAGAAAAGCTATTCTTTCTATTGGGCCACCATCGCTCTTCCTTGTGGATCCCCTCACTTGATGGAAACTTCACCCTTAGGACCTTTTACCATAGAAACCTCCACTCCCTCAGCACTCATCAGCCCTCCCAGTTCACAGTCACCAACCAAGCCATGCTCCTGCTCATATCAGAGTTTTAGCAAACACAATTTCTTTTTGTATAATGAACTTTTGCTTCCTCAAGCTAAAGAATAATCTATTAAGATTTGTCTCGGTTTTATCTCCTGATCGTATAGGTTGTGCTGTGAATAAAGCAACCACAAAGTCTGTTCTTCAAAACTCAAAGGATTTACTCACCCACTGCACAACCACTGTGACTCAGTGGGGAAGCTCTGTTCACTGTAGCCATTTAGGAACCCAGACTGACAAGGCAGCCACCATCTTGAACACAACCGGTCACTATGGAAAGGAAAAAGTTCTGGAAAGTGTCTCCTCCATAGTCAAATAGACCAGCCCACGAGTGATAAGCACCACTTCCCCCCACAGTTCATTGACCAAAACTAGTGACAAGGTCTCACCTAAACCAAAAGGAGCTAGAAAAGGCGGTCCTACTGTGTGCTTGGAAAGCTTGGCAGAAATACTTGGCAAGGGCACTGCTAGTTGCACTGCCCTCTCTGCTGGCTGAGCAGCACCAGCACTTTCGTGTAGCTGTTATTTCCGGTCATTGTCTCACTGCATTGTGATTGTATTTCCTTGTATCCTCATCTCCTCCTTGACACTCGGAGTTTCTCAAGGACTGGAGCAGATCACAAGAAATGTTTGATGCAAACATGCTTTTGAAAGCAATAAGCAGAAGTCCCCAGGAAAAGCCATGATTTACATGGCCCTGCGTGATTATGCTGCTGTTCCCCAGGACTGGGTGGCACCTCCCCTGCCATTTGCCTGGCTCTGGACCCCACTTCCCTCCTGTCATCATAGAAGCCTTCCCAGGGCTTAACCTGTAAAATATCCCCTTGCCCCCTCCACACACACACGGTTACCACCCTGTACCTCTGTGGCCCCGGTGTCTTTTACTTTGCACCACAGCACTTACCACTTCCTGAGGGAAACACCCATGCATGGATATTCCGTTCTTGTGTATTAAATTTCCTATAGCATACTATACCTACATATTTGGGTATCTATGTATTTACTGTCTGTTCCTCACCTCAGCATCTGTGCCCATGTGAATATAACTCCAGTGAACAAAGCTGAGATGCAGGTGCTCAATATATATTTGTCAAATCAATAAGTGACAAAGAAACAAATGTGTATCTCCTGAGTTGCCACTTCTCTGGATCAAAATGCTAAATTCCTCCCTCTCCTGGGATAAGATTTTAAGGCCTCTCAGTATACGTGCCACCCGGAAGTGATCAATGGTTGAGATGGTACAGAGCAGCATAATCCTTACTTGTCTTTCATTTTGTATTTCAATTAATGAAGCCCATGTCTAAATAACGATTCGAGTTACAAGCTTCACGCTATTGACTGTCATAGAAAATTCACTTATTGACCAAAACTTAAGTGTTTTTCATATATAAAACTGTAACTATTCCTCTCTCTAGTATCTTGTTGCATTTTGGACCTAACATTTCTCCTTCTTAATATACATTTATCTTCCTTTTCCTTTTTCAGATCTTTTATTCTTACACTGATTTATATAATGTCTTCTATGTGCAATATCTACCTTAGGTGCTGAGGAGTATTACATGATTATTTTATCATGCCCATAAGAAAAAGATGGGGCTGGGGAGATGGCTCAGTAGAATAAGCACTTCCCTGGCAAGTGCAAGGGCCTGAGTTCAATCCCTGGTTCCACAAAATAAAAAAAAAAAAAGAAGAAGAAAGAAGAAAGAAAGAAA